TTCAATTTTCCAATGTTTTAAGAAAGGATTTTTGCATCTACATGTACATTCATGTGAGCTGAGATTTACTAAATGCTAAAAAAAAAATGCCAGTTACAATTCTAAGCATTCTAAATGTATTAAACCATGACAACTCTATGAGGTAGGTACTCATTTTAAATGAGAAAACAAGCAAAGAAAGGTTAAGTAACTCTTTTAAGATTACACACCTAGTAAGTGGTGAAACTGGGAGAATGGGTAAACATGAGACTAATCGGTAATTTGTTATGTGCTATTTTTAAAATCAGGTTTGGATATAAAAGTTATGTTCTTTTCATAAAATGAAATGTTAAGATGTCAATTTTCATATACTCTGAAGCAGCTTATATAGTACAGGAACTACATTTCCTTTAGAGTTTGAATGATCAAACCTATAATCTTATCTAAGCTTAAAATTTAATCTTTCTTAATTAAAATTAAAATTTAGACCTATTTTTCTTTTTGTATTCGCCTCTTATATTTTTGTCTGTTCTTTGCACAGACTCTGGTGACACAGTTCACAAGCCTTCAACCATTTTGGATGGGGCCTAACCATTTTATCTAGTAGCCTAAGGACCACAACTGATAGTCTCAGGGTAGAGGCTGGCCATGCCAGAAAGATTGACCATGTGATTTAGGGTGGGAACTTTGGGCCTTGTAGTATCAGTCAATCTGAAGACTGAATTCAACCACCTGGACAATCACTCAAACATGCCTTTGTAATGCAGCAATAAAAACGCTGCACGTTGGGACACTCATGGATAACACACATTGATACCGGGAGGGTAACATATCCTGACTCCACAGGAAAATGTAAGGAACATGGAATCTTCTCATTTGGAACCCTCCCAGACTCTGCCCTATCCATCTTTTCCTTCGTATGATTTTAATCTGTATTTTTTACCTGTAATACACTATAACTGTGAGTACAACGGCTTTCAGTGAGTTCTGTTGAGTCTTCTAGCAAATTATCAAGCCTGAAGGTATTTTGGGGAACACTATGAACTTGTAGTTGGTGTCAAAAATGAGGGTAGTCCTGGGGACTGTGCCCTTAAACTTTTAGTGTAGCTAACTCTGGGTACAGCTAAACTATCTTTTTAAAAGGTACAAATAATTTACTTTCCTTTTAGAACAAGAATTCTGGTTGATCATTTACTAATATACATTTTCACTATTAAATTTCTAAAGTATGATTTACAGAAAAAGATAAGTTATAAGCAGATAACACTAATATATAGAGACTAAGAGTATATTACAATTGGCAGAGAAATGTCCTTCACTGGACATTTCTAACTGTCCTTCAAATGCCTTTATCAAAGCATTTAACACATGTTCAAACAGTTACATGCGTATCTTCCTCTTCTAGATTCAGAGCATCTTGCTGGCAAGATCTTATTTACTCTGATATTACCTAAGCTTTGCTTAGGCCTTGACAGATAGTAGGTCTTCAATGTTGATCTAACTCAATTAAATATATATATATTGGGGTTTGAGAAGTTTCAGCAAGGTCTCTCAAGCTAAAAAGATATTCTCCAGTGACCTGTCAAAGAGTTAAAATTTTACCGTTCACTTAATTTTTTTCCTCCCTCTTATCTCCAAAAGTGTACTGGGAGTAAGCAAAATCTCTAGAAATTAACACATAACACTTTAACAATAGATTCATTTAGGTTATCAGATTATTTTCTAATTTAACAGCATGAAAAATTTTAAAATGTAGTATGCACCAGGCCCATTTTAACAGAAAAAGAGAAAAAAGTTAGATCTTCAGCTCGGCAAAGTAAGAAATCTGAGGAAGGAGTAGGTGAATATGGGTGCTGCAAGCTGAGGGAGTAGGATACTGGACAGAAACGGAATAAGATAAAAGCACAGAATACTAAAACAGGAAAGGAACACACATTCAACACTGATAAACTGAGAAAATTCAAGACAATCAGTCAACTTGACAATTTTAGGACCTATCGTGAAATCAATTGTTTCATATAACAGAATCAACGCAAGAGTCCTATTGTTACAATTTCATGAGAGCACAGCTTTATCCATGTCTACATTATAATGGCAATCTCTCAATAAAAAGGCCCAGGTTTAAAACTGAATTCTTAAATTTCTGCATACCTGCTTCATCACTCTTTACTTCTCTTTATCTCTCCCTAAAATTTTTAATATTTACTATAGATTTTGTGATTTTTAAACTTTATTTGATTTCATTGTTACATCACAGAATATGGAAGCTAATAAAAGATTAATCACATTATAGAGAAAGGAAAGGAGAACAGAAGAAAATTTTCCTTTAAGAGTTAGAGGGCAGATTTGAGGAAAGAGAGAACCAGACAAGAAAAGAATGAATTTCATGAAGTTGCTGGAGTAAACTCAAAATGCAAGAATTGTTGCCATTATTTAAGATACATAGCTGTCTTATAGACTTAAATTGTTTACCTCATTTTCTGTTCCCACATCCAAAATGATGGGAAGACATTCTTGAGGATTCATCCCTCCACAAGCCGTATATAGAGCCAATTTACCCACAGGGATGCCCATTCCATTACAGCCAAGGTCTCCCAAGCCAAGAATACGCTCTCCATCAGTCACCACAACAGCCTAGAAGGAAAAGTAAAAATATTTGTTAGATTTTTGCAAATCCTTGGGCATGATTTCTGGTCTTTATTTTTGAAGTTAATACTTACATAATGCAATATAAAGCTGTGAAAAACATAAATTGAAATTTGTGATCATAATTGTGGAAGAATGGGGAAAAGAAATTTGACATACATATTTTAAATGTTTAAAATATATATATATATAATCTTCAAAAGTTTGGAAAGATTCATATTATCTTTTAATTCCATTTTTTCAAAACTTTTTGAAGTACCCTGTATATGCTTAATTAGGTTATTGAAAAAGGAAGAGTGGTTGTGCACATTAAGTTTCAAATAACCCAAAGAACTTAGTCTTCAATCGAGAGGCAAGTGGGAAAAGTACAGGGTCAGAGCTCTAACTGGGAGCCAAAGTAAAATTTAGGGCAACTTTGAGACTAGTCACATTCACTTTTAGTGAAATTACAGGAGTGCCCAGAGTTAAGTATTGAATAATTGCTGGCGTTTATACCTGTGCTATGGAATGCTCTGATCTGTAGTTTATACATTCTGGCACCATCCTCCTTTTTATACAACAATATTGACCCATCCCCTTTAACTCCTATAACCACTTGATATTGTTCTACCATCTTTGAAACATGCCCAGAACAGTCTGCTACTTCTCTTACCTGATAATCTTCCACTAGACTTAATGAATTTTGTTTGGTTTATTTCTAACGACGTTGAATATTTATGAAGCATACATTTTCATCATGTGGAGATTCTATTCAAGTTATTTGATATCATTATTGAAATTACTGCATCTAACATGACCATTATATAAATATAAGCAAAACCAATCTCATGAAATACAATTTATTAGATATTCTACAAACTGCTACACTCATTATATCCATGGAAACTTGAAAAAAATATCAGTTATCTGGCCTTGAATAAAGTGATGAATTTAAGCTTCTGTTTCTTATTTGTAAAATGAAAATAATAAATATACTTTTCAGAGTAGCTGTTTAAACCCAGAAACCAGCTCCGTTTTGCTCACCACTGTACACCAGCACCTAGCACAGCATATTCGGCACATAGTAAATAATCAATAAATATTAGTCAATTGAGTAAGTCTATAAATCATAATATTGAAAGAATTTACCACGGCACCTGGCACATTACACATTCTTTAAAAAGTATAGCTATTATTACTATTATCATTAGAACTAATATATAGAATCATAGCATTTTAGAAATAAAGGAGAATCTAGAGTGCATTCAGTACACCACTCTTATTTCATAGATTAGGAAACCAAAGTCCAGAGAACTGAACTAATTTGCCTAAGGTGGTTTACCTGGTTAATATCAAAGAACCAGAACCCAGGTACGTTAACTCCTAATACAGTGCTCTTTTCTCCAGGCTATATTGCAGAATATATTTAAAAACATGCTTTTGAGATCTTTACCTTTAATTTTCTGTTCATCTATATTATTCAGCTCTTAAAGAATTGCCTTAAAAGTAAATACATTTGAAAAGTGGGTGAAAATTATTTTAGCATATTCCATACAGCTCACCTTTGGAAAATTTTCCATGTCTAATTGCAATGGATCAATATGTTATGCTCTTTTGGAGGAGGTAAATCGATACCACTGGGTTAACTTAGCTCTGATTTAGGATTAAAAAAAGGTAAACAAATACTGCAGAGAACCACAACTTTGCTTTTTAAGTTAAATTAAAGCCAAATTTTCAAAGTCCAAATACTGCCAATGTATATTTAATAGACACTGTTTATTCTTTGTGCTATCACAAATAGAGGTATTTTTATATATCATTGATAACATATACTTTTTATATATCATTGATAACATATGTGTTCCTTATACAGGTAAAGTCCAGTTGGCCTGCCTATACTTACAAATATTGTTATGATATATTTTATAAGGAGAGTAATGTCACATAACTTAGTTATGATCTGAATAATAATTTTAATAATTTATATAATGTTTTACATGTTTCATTGAAACCACTTAAGCCCAGAGTTGCTTCTTGTAATTTTCATCCCACTATATAAATTATCTGTGCATTATCTGAACAGAATATTTCTGTATGAAATATGCAGGGTTCTCCTAACACACACAGACACTCTCCATGTGTCTTGTCTTCATCTGTTCTTTTCCTTTTCCAGGGCCTTTCCTTCTCTTAGCTTACCTAAATGTAGAACTCTTGCCTCTTTTCCTCTTCTCTCAAGACCATTCTAAAATCTGTCTCCAGATGAACCTTCTTCAAATAGTACTTATAAAAAGTCATTTCCTTATTTAAATATGACATTGTATTTTTTTCAATTCTAAATCCCTCTTTCTGAATTTCAAGACTTTTTATAATTTATAAAGTAACAACTCTTACTTAAGCAATACAACTACATTTCATAAGCTTTAGTCAGTCTAGCCAATTTCCTTATTGTCTAAGAACACACCACTCTCTTCTTCAACTTGATGCCTAAATTCATATGTTCTCTTCTTAGGACACTATCTTCTTCCCTGCTAATGATCAAAGCTTAGATTTAAGTTCTAACTTTGCTAGAAAAGTTTTCTTAACGATTCCAGCCTTCTCTGAGCAAGATTCTCTCAGTGAATAAATATGGCACTTGTATCCACTCAGTTTAATTATGTTTTGTCTAAAAATTGATTGCCTTTGTTTCATGTGTACTTTGAGTAGAGAAGTATTCCTATCATGTACTTCAGTATTCTATTACAATCAATAACTACCATTTATTAAGTGATAACAATGTGCCAGACACTATTCTAGGATTTTTTAGTAATAGTGGGCATAGTAAGGGTCAAGAACATCAGTGACGGCCTAATATCATGAGTTTAAAGGATAAAGGTAGGCTATTAAAGTAACTGCAGAGATCAGCTAGTTGGAAGAACAAAAAGCAGAGTGACTACTTACTGCCTAGTTGTATCAATTACAGGGATATTGATTAGAATTCTATTCCAAAATTATTTGCTCTATTGACTTGTTGTTTCTTAAAATCCTCTCTAGATTCCTGGTTAAAATGTAAATATTCTTCTCAGATGATCAGGCCTTTATGCTTTATAGAATTAACATATTTCTTAGGGTAGTTTCTAAGAACAGGATCTGTGAATAGTGCAGTCTAGTTGGTGGGAGAAAAGGAGAGGAAGCAACTTAGGTGGGGAAAGTGAAAAAATTGGGGAGATTGGGAATAGTGAAAAACATTTCACTTCACAAGTTTCCTAGCATGAGCCTTAGAGAGCCAAATTAATCAATTCTAGCCACGACTACTCAATTGGAAAAGATCATAAAATAAACCACACTTCAGAATTCATAGCTAAAGTCCTTTTGTACCACTACAGGGCATCGATTTATTCAATCTTAGTCCTAAAAGATACCACAAAGTTTCTGGGCACCCAACAGATAGGAAAAAGGGAGCCACAGGGAGGACAAGTACATCTCACCTCCCTTAGACAAGGAAGGTGGCACACACCTTGTTTAAGAGCAGGAGCTCTGGGGCCACTGCTGGGGCCTGCATTCAGTTCCCACCACTACCATGCCCTACTATGTAACCCATCCGTGCCTTCCTTTCCTCACTGAATTATCATGATAATTACAAGAGTTAATCCATGTAAAGCATCTCACACAGAAGGCTACCAAATGTCAAATACTGTTATTACTTTTATTTTCATCAACTCACTGAGAGAGGGAAATCAAAAGAGCTATTAAGGTCATAATGATAAAATAAATGAATCAACATTTTTTTTTTGACTACTTGGATTCCTCCTAATGGATGACTTAAACATGGCACATATGATAAAGTAGCTGGCTTAAAGATGTCCAACATTTATCATCACTTACAATGAATTAAGAAATACTACCAAATTAGACAGAAATAATGGGGAAATCTGGCATCCAGATGGCTTTAGAACAAAATTCATCTATTATGCAAAAATCAAAGGGCTATAAATTAGGTAATATTCACTAGAAAAGCTAGTGAATGCTACCTACTATAATGAGAACTGTCAACATGTTCCCAACTGTTTTATGGGTCAGAAAAGAGAACAAATATGCCATAGTGGAAAAATCTGACCACTTACCTTGATGACATCTTCTGGCCATACATTAAGAATTGAAGCAATATGCCCTCGATCATGGATACTAATAAAAAGACCCCTGGTAGAAAAAAAAAAGGAATAGTTTTAATTTACTTCAGACCTGTCAAACTATCAGGAACATTTAAAAATTTTTTTCAAATTTATTTAATATATCCCCATTTATATTAAACTAGTGAAAATTATTTCCTTAAATAAATAAGGAATAGGAATCTTATAAGTAATGAAGAAATTACTTTGAATGATATATTGACATCTACAATAAAGACAGGTTTAGCCTTATATTATTGTTAATATTTTTTAATTAAAGAAATATCGACTATTTTTATACACAGAGAATTTACATAGCATTATCAACTCCACTCATAGATTCACTTAGTCTTTCATTAAATAAGATAAAATAAATAAAAGCACTTTGAAAAACAACATGAAGCATATGTAAACAAGGATTTTCAGTATATATTCCATTAACTACATTTTCACAGTGTAAAGATGAGAACATGTATTGAGATGGCTGAAGTGAGTGACTAATGCTGAGCAGCTCTTTCATGTGCAGCTTACTTCATTCTTTGATTTGTGGTCTTCCGCTGCTATTTGCAACTCTGTTATTTAAACTCTCAGCTGAAGTCTTTGAGATTACCAACAGCTCCCCACCTCTCAATTTCCTAACAAGTATCTTTACAAATTAAAATATTAAAATTTAAAAATTGTATGTCTTATCCTCACTTAAAAGTTTTGCTTTAGTATTATTAAATATAACTTAAATACAGAGAACCACATCCAATAAATGAATTGTTATAAGGCAACTACCTTTCTACATAATATCCACTTAAACTGAAAGAATCTTGCCAGCTACCCAGAAGCCACCTATGTTTTCTCCAAATCAAAAATTCCCTCCTAAGAGTAACAACTATCCTGACTTTACTGGTATCACTTCCTTTGTAGTTAATTTATAGTTTTATCACCCAAATCATAAACCATTTCTAGGCACTATTGCTTAATTTCTCTGGTAAAGTTTCCCACAATCTGAATTACATCTCTATGGTGCAGATTAACATGTTAATCTCTTTTCTGTATTTCTTGGGAAAATGGTACAGATTGAGTATCCCTTATCTGAAATGCTTGGAACCAGAAGTATTTTGGATTTCAGAGTTTGGAATATTTGCATTATATTTACCAGTTCTTCATCCCTATCGGAAAATCCTAAATCCTAAATGCTCCAATGTGCATCTCCTTTACACATCATGTCAGTGTTCAATAAGTTTTGAATTTTGGAGCATTTTGGATTTTGAATTTTGGGATTTGGGATGCTTACCCTGAAATTGGATCTAGAAGATTAACCACAGTCATGTTCAATTTTTTGGACAAGATACTTCAAGGGTTGATGTTACCATAAAATACACAATATCTGGTATTGCTTTTTGTGAGGTTAGCAGCCACTGAAGCTCATTGTCTATGTATTAGTCCGTCCTTTGTTGCTATAACAAAATTTCTGAGACTGGGTGATTTATAAAGAAAGTGAAATTTATTGCTTACAGTTTCTAAGGCTGGGAAGTCCAAAGTCCATCTGGTGGTGGCAACAGCAACCCAGGGGTCTCACATTGCAAGATGGTGGAGGCAGAGAAAGCAGAGAGAATAAGAGAGACAGACTCTCCTCTCCTTTTAAAGCCCTCAGAACCATGCCCCTGACCACAATTTTTAATCCATTCACTACAGTATGGTCCTACAGTCCCAATCACCTCATCAAGGCTCCACTTCTCAATTACCATAATAGGATTTCCCACCCTCTTAACAGTCACAGTCAGGGCCAAGTTTCTAATACATAAAATTTGGGGGAAACAATTCAAGCATCAGGGAGTTTGGGGGGGGTACATAATTCAATCCACTACAGTCCAAATTCACTATTCATTAGGAGATACAAAATGCTGATATCCCAATTCTATCATTCATTATTTATTTACTGGAACACTTCTTTAAAGAGAAATTTTACTATATCTACTATTTGGTTATCCAGTAATATAGTGGTATAGAAAAATAAATAATTCTTGACTCTATCTAGTTTTTAAAATATGGAGTTGATTTACGAATTCTCTGAGGGCTTCCACACAGTAATAGTCATTGTTGTGTATGTGTCTTGTGTTTTTTGGTTTTTGGTTTCTTTAATCAATATAAACTCACGGATTTAAACATATCTGATGTGTTTCAATCCGTCACAGTTATTTTCCTTACTGATACTCAAATGTTCCATCTTTAGCAAGTGGGAGACTATTAATATTGCTCCCTGAGTCCTTCTGACATGACGACAGTAGTTTTGGATAACTTACTTGCTCTGTTATGATAATATGTTTCAGGTTTATTTTGAAAATGTTCTGCCCCAGGCCTGAAATTAGCCATTTCTCTAAGAAGCCCAGGTTTCCTTTAACAGAAAGTGGTTTTCCAAGACCACAATCTAGGTAACAGGGATGCCTACTGCTACTAATTAGCCAAAGTATTGCTATTTAAAAAAATCACAAAACAATGTTGATGAGATTCACTTCCTGTTTATGGCTGCAAATCTTAAATTGGCACTCTTCTCTTGTAAAGTTTCCCACTGTAATTTCCTAGCAAATTCAATTTACCACCTTCTCACAGGACTATTTTACATCTCTCCTATCTCCTTACATCTCGAATATTCATCCCTCTCTCACGCAGTTGATAAACTAATCTTGAATTTCAAGGAGAAATATATTCAATAGGGTGAAAACTACCTCATTTTTCTAATATAAATCCCACTAACCCATCTGCATCTTTTTTTACATTCTCTCCCTTCCTTCCTGTTAGAATGAAAGAAATTTCCCCACCATTATTAAGGCCACCCTCTTGTGTTCAGTATCCTATCCCATCTCAGCTTTTCAAAGGCTTCCCTCCTGCAATTATCCCATCTCTATGCTGCACCATCACTTTCTCTATGGATCGATTTTATTGTCATAAAAACCTGCCTTAGAATTATCGATCTTTTCAAATAATTGGATTTTGTTTCCTACTCTCCTGTCCTTCATTACAAAAGACTTGCATCCCCTCAAAAGACTTGCATATTCTTACTGTCTCTGTTTGTTGCCTCGCACTATCTCTTCAACCTATCAATAAGGCTTTCGTCTCTCACCTCTCCACAGACAATTTTTACCAAAATCACTGATAATCTATAGCTGAATACAGGCAAAGGTCAGCTCTCAACTCTCATCTTACTTGACTTCTCTACAATGTTTGACATTGTTGACTTTGCCCCTTCATGAAACACTTTATTTTCTAGCCTCTGTGATACCACATTTGCCTGGGTTTTATCTTAATTCCTATCTGTTCCTTCTCAGGTTCCTTTGTTGCCTCTTCCTCCTCTACTAGTTTTCTCAATGTTGAACTGTTCCAGGGCTCCACACTCAACTCTCTTCTCCACCTACACACTCTATGAACATATCTCAACCAGTCTCATGGCTTTAAATATCATGTTCATAATGATGACTCAAACTTCTTTGTTTAACCTGGACCTCTACCTTGAGCTCCAAACTGTAAATCTGACTACCTATTTAATTATTTCTTATCATTCAGGCCTCAACTCAAACCTTAGTTCTTTAGGCAGGCCTTCTCTGACAACAGGGGTCAAAGGACCTCCACTGCAACATTTTTAACATCTTCATAATACTTATAAATAGCTGAAATTATCTTACTTATTTGTTCATATGTTTACTGTCTCTTCCCTGGCACACCCCCCACCCCACCACTGCACATATACGCACAAAGCAGTAAGCTCCTTATGTACAGAGACCTCTCTATTTTGCTCACATTTGTAACCCCAATGCTTGTAAGTCTGCTGGCACATACTATGTGTCCAACAACATATGCTGATTTCATTGCTGAAAAATAAGGCTTTTATAATCAAATTTTGTTGAGGCACAGAAAACATAAATTATACTGTTATACTGACATTAAATAACCAAAAATTATGACAGTAAGTGCTATAGGAAGATTACTGATGATTGTCTGACTATGCAAGAATATTAATTTACTAAGTTGACACTAAATTATATCCTTTCTTGGTTTTGTGGATGTTTCATGTAAGTTTATTTTGTTTCTCCAAAATCATTATTACCTCTTTATAAGTTATGTATTTCTTTTGGATCCCTGTCATAACCAACTTGACCCTACGAAATCAGCAAGGATCTCAATAAATAATTGTAAATTAAAATGAAGTGTTTTTGGACTTTTTAAAGAAAGCACTTTTGTTGAATTACCTAAGATGTTCTTGGCAATACACTATTGAATAATATTTCTTGGGAACTTGTTAGTTAGACAAGGTTTTCCAAGTAACACTGGTCTCAGGAAACAGCATCATTTTCCTTTATAAGACAATGAATGATACCAAAATTAACACCAATGAAATACCAAGGTTTATCATATACAGATCTGACTTCAGCTTCAGTGGAAGAGTCATTTGGCCATCTATAATCTCTTGCACTGAGTTAAGATTCATTCATGGCAAAAATGCTTACTCTTGTAAACAACTCAATAAATGAAGGATCTGTAATGTCCCAACAAAGCCAAGAATTCTAAAAAAGTCATTTGCAATACTTCCTGAAATGTCTCCATGATTAGAAATCTAATGAGATATCCAAAAGTGTTTCGACAACCAGAAAGACCTCATACTTTCTGATATAGAGTTTAACATAAAACATTAATCCTCAACATATACATACATATAGTTATAAAATAAAAAGTTTAGACAATTGGCCAGTACACAATACTAAAAAAAGTTTAGACAAGAAAGTTATTTATCTAGGATATATTAAAATGAATGGAATTACAATGAACACCTTTTCACTGTCCCTGTTCTTGTTGACAAAATTTGTTTAAAATATTTAATTTCTACTCAAAGTACATCAAGCATGCCAATTAAAAACACGAATAATTTTGTGTCTATTTCATGTTAGAACTGAGATCATTTTAAAATGTGAATCAACTTTTCATACACATTTTTCAAACTTTTCTCATAACCTCTAACACTGTATATATTCCATTCTCACAATAGATTTAGAAGATGAGATAATATTCTAATTTGTTCATATTTTCTCAGATAACATCCTTGGTGAAATTTATTTCATATCAAAAAATTCATTTTCTAACATACAATTTTCTATTGTAACTAGACTTATACTTTCTTTTGCAAATGGGTTTATAACCCTGCTCCTGGCTCAACGGAGGAGGCAGCCATCATGTAATATTCTGTAGTAATTCTGTAGTAATTCTTCTGTAGTAATTACAGAAGATGATCTTACTATCTTTTGAAATAAGAAAATTAGAGTATGAGTATGAGTATGCGTTAGTGAGCCCTGGGAGTTAGCCCAAAGTTAAATTATACGAACAGGTCTGGGCTGATGGAAAAAGAAGTACTGAAGAAAGCTAAGTTCAGGTAAAATACAGGTCTAAAGATGTGGAGATAGCAAGGATAAAGATGTAGAGTGACGAGTCATATACCTAGATTTGAAAGGAATAGAAGAAATTACTAAAGGAGAAAGAAAAAAAGGCCATTGGGAAAGCATTACAAATTAGCACCCACAATAAAAGAATAGGATAACTAAGAAGAGCCCTCAGGGAAAAAAAATGTTCTAATAAGTAGGACAACCAGTGTTTCCAAAGCCAAGCGAAGTCGAGGGAGAAAAATGTTAAGAAGGCATGAATCCACATGATCATGTCTTGCAGTAAATTCTTAGAATTCTTCTTCTAAGTATATTACAAAGAATTGGTTTTTTCCTGATTTATTTGAGAGTTAAATAGCCAACATGCACTACCAAATAATTTAATGCATTTCCTACAAACAAAAAATTCTCCTATATAATCATAACCAGAGACTTAATATCAATACATTACTACCATCTAATCCTCAGACATTGTTCACATTTCACCAATTGTCCCAGTGATGTCCTTCATAACAAAAGAGTCTATTTTAAAATCCTACATAGCATTTAGTTGTCATGTTTCTTTGGACCTCTCAATCTGGAACATTTCCTCAGTCTTTCCTTGACTGTCATGATCTTAACACTTTTGAAGTTACATGACAGTGTTTTTATAAAATGTCCCTCAATTTGAGTCTGTGTGGTGTTTCCTCATGATTACTTTCAGAGTTTACATCTTTTGCAGGAATATCACAGAAGTGATGCGGGCTTCTTTTCATTTCTTACTATCAGCTAGCACTGTCCCCAACTTGTCCCATTACTGATGATGTTCACTTTGATCACATGATTAAGGTGGTGTCCTCCAGTCTTCTTTACTGCAGTCACTTTTTCCCTTTTCAATGAACTAGTATTTTGTGGGAGGATTCT